CTCCACACAGTCTATCCATCTTGTGCGAGATTTTTCTCCTTTCCTGATACCCTCTACACTTGCAGAAGTCATTTTTTTAACAGGATTCAAGTTGTCATATCTAAAAATATATCCAAGCCGCCTGACACGATAAGATTTAGTGACTCAGGCAGTATTAAGTGGTTCGTATCTTCTATGTATTTCATGTTAAAATAAAATTTTCCATCTATTATTTTCTCTAACTGGGCCATGTATTTTTTGCAGTATTTTTCTTTTAAAGATTAGAAGTCTTTCTTTATCTGTTTTTGTTAATAGCCAGCATTCACTATGATACAATATGACAGGTCTAATAAGAGTTCTGTAAAGATATATTTTTGTCTTGAAGATTAATAATTTAGACACTAACAAATTATTTCAACAATAATAATATCTATTAGCTCTAAATAATGTATTATCAATTTCAAGTTTAATATTTTATCATTAAAGGTGATAGTACCGAGATACGTAAACTGAGAAATGCTCTCAAAAGTATGAGAACTTATTTGCAGTAGGAGGGGATTATGTACTTTACTAGTTACTGACATATATATATATATATATTTATACACTCTTTAATGGTTAATTCAGTGTCTCTGGCTGCTGACTCCACAACTCCCTGTTTACTTCTGCCAATAATGTCGATGTCATTAATATATGCTAGCAACTGTATAAATCTCTGAAATAAGGTGCCTCTAGTTATAATTCTGGTATTTCTAATAGCCTTTTTAAAGGTGATATTAAAAAACATATATGCAAGCGCATCACCTCGTCTCAACCCCCTTTCAGTATAGAATGCCTCTGATCAGACATGATTTTAACTCTGCAGTTTACTCTCTTTAAAGTCAGATAGATCAATCAATTTCTTAGGAAATCCAAATTCCAGCATTTTTTCAAACATTTTTCACAGTATATGCTATCATAAGATGCTTTAAAATCTAGAAAAAAAGATGAAAGGTATCAACATTATGTTCAGTTTTTTTTTTTTTTTTCTTCCAAAATTTGTCTAATAGAATGAATTTGATGAACAATAGATTTTCTAGCTTGAAATCCATATTGGTAGCTACCTATAATTGTAGATGCCAACATTATGTTCAGTTTTTTTTTTCTTCCAAAATTTGTCTAATAGAATGCATTTGATGAACAATAGATTTTCCAGCTTGAAATCCATATTGGTAGCTACCTATAATTGTAGATGCATATGGTAACAACCTATTATATAAAATATGGGAGAAGATTTTAAATGCAATATTTAAGAGGGTGATACCTCAATAGTTGTTACATTCCAGTCTGTCTCCTTTCTTAAAAATGGGACATATGGAACCCTCTTCCTATTTAATGGGTATCCGCTACATAGTGCAAACATTAACCTGATGAACAGCATCAATCAATTAAGGTATGCCAATATTAATTTAGTGCTGCTTTAATACTCTCTGGTCCTGCAGTCCTGTTGTTATTTAGATTCTCAATAACCTTCCTCACTTCACATAAAGATGGTGCATCAGGTTCCAGAGTTAGATCATTTTTAACAACACTCAGGTCGATATTTAGATCATCCTCCTTCCCTGGAAGATCAGTTCCACAGAGATCTCTAAAGAACTCTTTCCATTTTTTTATCACTTCAACTTGATCACTTGTCGGCTCACCATCATTTTTTCTGCAAGAAATTGTCTTGGGATAGGCAAAGTGAGATAGAGAAATTCTTAAGTAATCAGTACACTGCACATCAGTGAAATTTCATGATTCTATATCTCAAATTATCCTGATTATTCTAAATATAGATAACCTATGGCTAATAAATCTAGCAGTTTATGGTGGGCTATATACACATTTTATCGAGCTCATATTCCAGCTATTTACTGGTTAAACTCTTCAGCTATGGCTGTTGAATTCTGAGCTGTTTTTGAAGTACAAGGTAAATCAAAACTGGTGGCACAGAAAGAAAGCATACCTGTGATTACCATAATTAATTAATTTCACAAATACAGATATAAGTAAAATAAGTTGGAAGAAAGTTTAAAATAAATACTTTTGTATTTTATTGTCATCCTAACGTTTACACAGCATGTGTACAGAAAATAAATCTGAAATGGAGTTTGACATAAATATTTGAAATGGAGTCTGTAGCCATATGAGGGTACTGTGTCTGCATAAATCGAAAGATTAGACTTAAAAACTAAATGTTTACAGGGCCAAACTCCAACAAAATCTCGCATTATTTCAGGAAATTTATATTGCTCAGACAGTGGATCATCGTACAACTTTCCATTGAGTTTCTAAACTCTCATGAAGGACATGTCAGATGTACATGATGATAAAAAATAGAACTATAATGCTGGCATCAGTGTCAGGTAACTGAAGCAGCTGCACTAACGGTGGCAATACTGAGGTTTGAAATGTTTTAGAAGTACTTGAGCAGCAAAATACCTAGTGTTGGGTCTAACCTCGTGCAGTATTTGTATCCAGCTAAAAAGAAAGAAGTTCGTCAAACAATATGCGAGAAAATATCACAAGCTAAAGCAATTTCACTGCCATAACTATACTGTATTTTGATAGCAACTTTGCAGAAGAAAGAAGCTTGTATTCACTTGATGCAACATTATTGATATGAAAGTGAAAAATTTCTAGCTTGAATAACAACAATTAATAAAACAAAAAATAAAAATGTTTACAAGAATTGAAATCCTTGTCAACCCGGAGATTCTCCCTGCAACCCCAACCTTTGGTGAAATAAATTATGATCTCAGAATTACCAAGGACTTATTATGAAAGATAGAATTTTATATAAAAAAAGTGTTTATTGAAGCATATTACTCTGAGTGTTGTGAAAACTGCAAAAGCATTGCCTAAAAATGACCTGGTTTGCTTAGTGTGGGGAATTAATTTTGAAGGAGACTCGCAGAAAATTGAGAGAAGTCAACTAAATACAAGCAGGTAAGTTTTATCTTGCCAACCATAAAATCCTCGGATTTAAAATTCTTCTGTAAGCTGAAAGAGTCCTGCTTGGACTGTTGGGCGAGAAAGGTTTCTTCAGAAGTTATTCTAACAATTCAAGGATTGAATAGAAGTAGTACTCTACAATGAATAGCAAATCTTCCAGGTGGATCACAACTGCTATGAAAAACGAATGTGGGTAGAAACTGCCTGAAATAAAATTAACCTAAGAGAAAAAATATCAGAGACCATTATTTTTTAGATTAACTTAATATTTGCACATTCTGTTCTATTCTGATGGCCATTATCTACTTAAGTAACATGGCAAGAATAGTCATTTCTAGAAATGGAATTATTGGAAATTTTATTTGTTACTCTGATACTAAGCCTGCAGTGGAAAATTTGAAATCGATTAAATTACTGCATGCATAATATAATTTAAGAAATTAAATTCCATTAATAAAGTAATATGTCATTGCTTGATTTCTGTTTCAAATTTTGTGTATATTTCAAAAATTAAACTACATTTTATTGTGAACAAGTCACATTTCGAAGGGCAAAGGGACACAAATAGCTCATGAGCCGCAGTTAGGCGATGCCTATCATATAGGCTACTCATTGGCATTGTTTTAATAGCTCTATCAGTGGTGCACCTGGATAAACTGTGTTTGTCCTTGCAGTTTGCACAAAACAAGATGTCTGTACCAAACCCAATTATAAATGACCTGCGGATATCCATAGTTTTCCTGGCTACTGATGCTTTCGCTATCTTGAAACTGATAAAAGGCATTTGATACAAATGCATTTAAGAATATGTCATAACTGCTGAATGATAGAATGACCAGCCTGTCTTAATCTAACTGTGCATCCACTGTTAAAAGAATTTAAGTAATATTTTTTATCCATTTTTAGCATTCTTCTAGCCTTATTGATTTAAGGGAAAATTATAGAAGTTGTGCAGCATTTAAAGTTTGTTAAAGCTTTGGTATCTTAAGATTTTTCATTAATTTTTTTATAATTATTGAATTTTTAGATTAGTATCATATTTAAAATCGTAGATATTCAGATTCTTAATATCCGCCAAAGCAAAAATTGTATTACAGAATTGGTTAATTTAATAATTAATAATCTTAATTCAATTAAATTAAAACTGAGAAAATTGGGTACTTTCTGATTATCCACCCAGCCCTCCTGCAGTTGGCAGTCATTGGCTACTAATTTTTTGTCAGCCTAAGATGTAAAAAGCAACACTTATTTTAAATTATGGCAGCACACTAATAATTATTTAAAACAGTAAACAATTTACAACATTAGAAATGTAAAAAAAAATTTCATAATAAAACACTTTCCTGTTTTTCCTCTGTTCTCCCCGTGTACATAGCAATATGATATAGCTTCAAAAATATCGTAGAAATGCAGAAACTTGGCATCAGCACAACTTAACATTGCACACACTGGTGGTTCTGCCCATGTAAACAACAGTCTGTTTTCACTTAAAAATCAGAGAGTTACGCAAATTGCAGTATCAAAGCACAAACTCAGGATTATGTACAAAGTACACTTTCATAAAAAGTGAACTTTTGTTTTCTCTACTGTTAAGTAAAATGCCATATTTTTTAAAAAAAAGAAAAAATGCAGCGCTTTCTTTTTCATCAGCTAGAAAACTCTTCAGTCCCTTTATGATTGCTTTCAAGGGGAAAAATGCACAAGCTCATAAACTTTAATCAGAACAAGCACTAACCCAAAAAATAAACTATCAGATCTGAATAGCCGAGATCTGCACTTACGTGGCGATTATGCACTTATGCCTGGGTTTTGACATAAATGCATTTTCATTACATTATGGGTTGCCAGCATAGCATGTTGCTTGGTAAATTCTTTTCAGAATTGCGCAGTTCAAGTACCAAAAATTGCATAAATTATATATCAAGCAATAAAATATTGCTAAATGATTATGTAATTTTGTATTTGAAATTTTTCTTATATTTTTTAAATTGTGTTTCTTGTATCTTAATTTTTTTGTGTTAATTTTTTTAATGCTTTATAATTAGGTGTTAGGAGACATTAAACGCTTGGCCATTGCTGTGCATGAATTGCAAGCATTGAATCCTGTTCTACTGCCTCAGTGTAGGGCATCCGGAGATGATTCTGCTTCTTATCGAATTAGTAATAATGGAGCAAAGTTACGTCGACGCAGACATAGAAGAGAAGCTAGTGATTCTTCAGATTTAAATACATTTGGTAGTGAGTTTAGTGAAGATGAAGGTGATCATTCTGAAAATTCTCATAAACAGGTATTTATTGCTTTTGAATTTTTCTGCATTAGTAAATTGTATGTCATTGTTCTGTGCATTTGTAGATGCACTGAGTACCAATAAATCTTAATGTTGAAAATGATATATCATAAGAATGTTTGTAATTTTTTTTAATACTACAAAACAGCTAAAACTTGTGCATAGTTCAAACTTAATGGGAAATAGTATGCTGATAAAAATTGGATACATCTTTTGCAGAGGTACACAGATGGTTTAATTGTATCTCTGGATAAGTTTCATTGATATGATTGTAGTACAAATTGATATATATCTAACCTTATTTTTGGCATCTTACATAAAACTGGGGAGGAGCGAATATGAAAGTATATTGGCTTCTAAGTGGATAAAAGTTTTCATGCTTCCCAGACTAAAATGATTGATAAACTTACTGATCATTGTAAAGGGATGCCCTCATAACTGTGGCCTGCCATAAAGGTATGGCTGCTATCCACAAAGTAGAAACCATCATACATTCATTTTGTAATTTAACTTTCTTTTTTAATCGAGTTTGGTTTTTTATTCTTTATAAATAATTTTTCTGTATTTTTTATTTATATGGATGGAAAGTCTGTTTTAAAATCGATCTAAATTCACACATGTGAAAGATCTCAAGTACACAATACACATATACATGTATATGTGTATATATGTATATACATACTTGTAATTACCAAAGAAAGATTTACACAAGCATACAAGTAAGACTTTTTAAATTGTATGGAAAATGAAAATATTTAAATTAGTAATATAATTGCTAATATCTGAATAAAGTATAGATAAAATAATTTAAACATGAAATAAATTGTTATATTTTTTCCCTTTGTGGAAGAAACTTGGAAGCCCTGACTGGTAAATGCACATCTGCATCTGTAGTTGCTTGGTCCTATTCAAACCCTAATTGCAGCTGTAGGTTGCTAGAGGGAGCTCTATACATTTTCTCCTCTAAACATGGCAGAAGAATCTTACCATGTGATTGGGGTGTAAACCCAAGCTACATATCCAATAACTGTCTTGTACATTCAAATACTTAGTCAAATTTATAGAAATCTGACATAGAAATTTCTACATACCACAAAATTTTCATGTTAATTGTTACAGTAATTATTATTGATGTAATCACTGTTATCTGTAAAAATTGCATGAGAAATGTTTGTAATATTTCTTATATCAGTGCTGAATAAAAAACATTTCATTAACACCAAAAGGAGGAATGCATCCCAAAAAGATTTTATTAGGTGTCTGGTGGGATGTCATAGGAGAATTAACCTGTTGGGATGAGACTAAACAATAAATATCAACCTCTGACTAAGGATAACTGACATCTAAGCAGTCGATGCTTATCAATCACAAAGTTGTTATCTTTCATCATAATACCATTAGACTTCATGCTGCTTTAATCAGCCTGAAAAAATTAATTTTAAAATTTAACCCATCTAGCATATTTCCTTGATCGTCCCGTACAGAACATCATCTTATATGATCATTGCAGGGACCTACACTTTCCAAATTTTTGACAATGCAGAGGATTTTTTTTTTTTTAAACTCAAAAACAGAGCAATTTTATTGGTGTTCAATAAACTTAATCTGATAGGTAGCAATGTCTCCATATCTAGTAAAGACAGTTGTATAGAATGATACTTTCCTTTTCATGTTCTCTGCTTATCTTTTTGACAAAAAAAAAAAAAAAAATAGGTGTACTTTTTGCACATGCCCTAATACATGCATATTATTTCTTTTTAAACTAAAGTGGGAGGCTTTACTTTTTTAGGAAGTATTTTTCACTTTTTTAGTAGCATTTAAATCCAACAATTTTATTATTCTCTCCAAAATGGGAAGTGGAACAATGATTTTATATTCTCTTCATACACACACATTTGTATATAATTAATGAAATCTAACAAAATGTAATATTTCCACATTAATTTTTTTATTTGTATTATATACAGTCAAAAGTCGTTAATTTGGACACCCATAATCCGGAATGATCTATAATCCGGACCTCAAAGCTACAAACTTTCTGCGCATGTGTCAATGGGACGCATGCGCAGAAAGTTTAAGTTAAGATCTTTATGGCTGCAAATATGCTTGTGCGCGTGTGCAAAATACGTTTACGAGTGCGCGTTTAATGTATAACGGATGGTATAAGCTAAGCTAAAATTATCTAATTATTTATTTCAGTTAATGTTGCAGATTGTGTTGTTCCTTAACCTTCGAATTGGATCCAGCTTATTATTTTTTGCAGACTGTTAGAGCAATTTTATAAAAGTTAAGCTTGAACTTTCGATTATTCAAATAGAATTTTGATATATATTTAATTAATATGTAAAGAAAGGATCTACAAAGCGAAAGTATGTTTTGAAGGTCATTAAACAAAAAGAAGGAATTGCTACAAAAAAATGGATAAGGCATATCCTTGTTTATTAAACTTAATTTGTTTATCTAAACTTTGTATCTTAATGCGGGCACGCAATGAATTGGAAGTGATCTGTCAGCACTATCCTTATCTTCAGGGCAGATGTTTTTATTTGGCTTATAATTCCTTACTAAATGTAGTATTTCATCTCTCGATGTACTCCGTCTTTGATATGATTTAAATCAAATTCCTCATCATTTTAATTCGCTTCCGGTAGCGAAGAAAGTACAGAGGTTATGAAAACGAAAAAAAATTTCGATTGACAAATTAGTCGGTATTCTCGACACAGGCAATTATAGGACTTGAACAGCGGAACTTGTAACTGAACAAGAAATTATGTCTGTTTTATAGAATTAAAGAGAATGTATTATCACATAAAAAAACGAAGCAAAACTTAAACAACTTACATTGAAAGAAATGTTTAATAAGTAAAACAAATAAATATTAAGCTTTTTTTTTTTTTTTTTTTGTAAATTTTGATACCCTTTAGATCATAATTGTTCTTATTTCATAAATTACGGTTTCATATTTTTAATTTTATAATTTCTGCATGCCATCTTACCAGATTTAAACTGATGATCTATAATCCGGAAAAATTGATAATCCGGAATCACCGAAGTCCCGACGAGTCTGGATTAACGACTTTTGACTGTATATATATATAAAGAAATTGTATCTAAAATATTTTGAATTACTGTAGCCTTTTTTGTACATATAATTTAGGTTGTTTATTAATCTAATCATGAGAAATTAATCAAAATCCTTTCATGAAAAGGGTTTACAAAATTAATATCTTTGAAATAATGCAAGATGTTCATAAGTTATAGAGATTGTTCACACTTTAATTTTTACAGTTTTGGTGAAGTAAGTAACTGAAATTAATGAAACATAAAAAATAAATTGGCTATTGTGTTTGCACTGAGAGATAAATTATTGCCTTCTGCAGTTTTTTTTAATAACCTCAAAATTCTAAAAATAAATTGTGGATAAAAGCCTATATTTCTGCACTTTCCAAATGAGCATTTTCTCATTTTCTGTGCAAGCACGATACAAAAATCTTGGAATCGAGGTATCTAAAAATGCACAATGATCAATATCATGTATATTAAAGAAATTATTGAAAGTTACTATTTTCTGCCAGGAATAGAATAGAATGGCAAATTAAATAAAATATCACATGTTAACAAAAATATAAGTTTTAAAATGTAGCCATCAACAAAAATAGCTGGCACAGCACAGCTATTGAGATAGCAAATCACTACTGCACTTTCCGACTATTAAAAAGGGCACTTTCTACACATTAGCCAAAGGTAATTTTCAAACTATGAAAGGCAGGACAAGACAAATGGGAAAATATTTCTTTTAGTAAAATTACGAAATGCTCTTTTGTCATGAAAATAAAATACAGATTGGTAGTTGATGTTTATCAGACTGAGTATTTAAATGGTAGTATATGTATGATAATTAGCTATTCTGCTGTGTCAAAATCATTCAGAAAACCTGCAAATAAACTTTCTATTCATTAGATAGCATTCAGATATGTTCATTATGAAAAGCATTTTAGAATTGCAGTATTAATTCATGTTTTTTTATGTTATGCGAAGCTTGGATTAATGGGTAGGGGGAAGAACTGTAGTATAGTGATCATTTGTTTTAATACCTTAAGTAAATTTTGCAGATATTATTATTATTAGGATTCTTTAATCATTTGTGCATCTGTGTGCAGTTTATCTAATTTAGATTTTATCAAAATATCACTAAGCATTCAACATTTGCATTTTTATTCAGTAGATTAAACAGAAGAATAATTCCTTTTTTTAAATACTTGTTTACTTCATATTGATCAACATATAACTCTGAAATACTAAATATCCATCTAATATTGGGAAGTTGATAGAAGAAATCTTTGTTGAATCAAAATAACTAAATTGACTGTGAAATGAGAGTTCTGAAAGGGTTGACTGTGAAATGGGAGTTGTAAAGTCACATAGTTGCAAGAGGAAAAAGAAAGGGGGTAATTGTTTAGTCTTCGTAATGAATCATTGTATTAGAATATTAAAAATGTTATCATTTGCAATCTTACTATATTGAAAGTATAACATAGGTTTTTAAATAAAAATCGCGATTAAAATAGGATTTAATTATAAATGCAAAAAAATATGATGAATATATTTATATACGTTTGGTGTGGCCGATTGCAACCAAAATATGAGGTGCACATCTACATGTTATAGTAGTCCTATATACAAAATTTCAACGTTCTGAGGCTATTCATTTTTTAGTTATGCGAGATACATACGTTCGTACAGACGCCATGAAAAATTGTCTTCAGAATTAATTTTAAAGCAGTTTTATAATTTTCTTGGAGGAAACGAGTCTTTTATTCTGTCCTTACATACAGATATCATGCAAAAACATCGTTAAATTGCATTCAATAGCGGTCAAAATGGATATTTTCGTTGAAAATGCTGCCTGAAACTTTTCGCGATTACAATACTTCCTTTTTACTTCGTACAAGGAAGTAACAAGAATAATAGCAGTACTGTACATCAACATAATAACAGTTCAAATTCTCTTTTTGCACTTGGATTTTAGATATGCATTTATTATGTTAAAATCTTGTTGGAAGAATATATGATATGACCTCATTATTTAAAAATATTTTTACATTAAATTATTAGCAAAATACAACCTTTTTCTATTGAATTCAATTTAAAAAAAAATTGTATCCAAGTGTCATATAGTCCTCTTTTTTTTTTTATTTCAAGAGAAAAAAATTTAGTTTAGCCTTTTCTGCAAATTTTTTTAATTGTAAAATCTGTGCTTTGTAACTGTAATCTAATGAATTATTTTGTTTTCATCTTTGTAATATTTTTAATAATTATAAAGAAAATTTATCTGAAAATTGCTGTAAACTATAAGAAATTTCAATGTCCAGTAGTACATTTTAAATTAGATTTAAAACCGTAATGTATGTTTGTTGCATGAAGTTATAATTTTAATGAGCTTAGGGAATGTTTATTTATGAAATATTGTAGAAAAGCAAATGTACATTATTTTAATATTATAAAATTATGAATTTTTATCATGTACATGCCTTATTTGATTTTTTTTTTTTTTAAAAATGTATCTGCATTTTGCGATTTTAGACTTTGATATAAAATAACTCTTTGCAGAGAAATTTATAAATAAATTTTTTTCATAGCAGCCAACATTGATGATATCTGTGGAGGTAGATATATTTTGTTGAATATGTTCACTGTGAAATCTTTAAAGATTCCATATATGTGAATTGTATTATTTATTCTTTAATATTTGGGATAGTTTAATTAATTATACTAACATATTTATTATATAAATTTTATAAATTAATAATAAAATGTTTTTATGAATGTTTAACATATCTAGAAAATCAGTGCATTTCCTTGAGATTAAATCATTCATGCATTACATTGCTGTAATGAACAGTAAATTTAGTTATTTAAAGTTGGCTGATTGTTTTGCCATTTAGTAATTATACAGTGATTATGAGGTTGTTGTAATCTTTTGATTTTAATTAATCAACTTGAGTATCTAAACTAGCTGACATTGATAAATGTTATCAGCTAATCCCTCTGACATGGTATCATTTATAATATTTAGGTACAAAAAAAAAAACTGTGTTGCTGTATGTCAAAAGAAAAAATATGTTATTGAAAAGTATTCATTATACCATCAAAGATATATTAATAGTTACTTCTGAATTAAAAAAAAGAAAGAAAAAGTTTCATAATTTCAATTGATTTTGTAAGGAATGCAACATATATGAAGCAAAGCTTTCCCCTCCCCCCTCCTCAAAGAAGAAGATTTATATCAGAGATGGGGAACCTTTTTACCATGAGAGGCCACATTTTAATTAGACCGTGATAAAGGAGTTGCTATACCTATAAATGTGACTTTTGTGAAATTATTATAGTTTTATCACTTTATTGCATTATATGGAAATAATGCATAAAAACATTGTCATTTATTAAACTAAAAATTTACAATATAAAATATTTTTGTATTCACATAAGCCTAATAACTTATTATAATAGTAATCATTTTTTAATAAACTACAAATATTTAAATATTGTTTCAAACAGTAATAATAAAGTAGAAGTATTTTTCAATAAATCTATTACATTATAAAGAAAAACAATAGAAAAGTAATAATATTAAGTTACAAAAAACAATATAGTAACATTCTATAAAATAATGTTAAAATCGGATGAAAAATTTAATTTAGTGGGATGTTTGCATTTGTTTCTTGCCTGAAAGCAATTGAATATTTGCATCAAGCTTCAGAATGTGCAGCCTTAGTGGATCTTTTAAATGAGTATCTGTAATTTGCATTCTTAAACAACTAATTTTATTTTTTTCACGAAAGAAAATGTAACTCACAGCAGTAAGTATTTCCAAAGCAGGAAAGTATACGATGTGCATGCTCTCATAGGTATGGATATTCAACAGCATTTTTCCAGATTTCTATGGGATTCTTTTTAGCGTCAAAAAGAGATTTGAAAATTTTATCCTCTAGCAACTCAAATAACTCTATTCCATAGGAACTTTGGATATATCTACTAAATGTGGTTCGAATGCCAGTTTCATAGAAGAAGTGTGTTCGTGAAAATCTGAAACTCTTTCAGTATATTCTTCTGTTAAAAAATCCAAGACACCTACATATTCATCGAATGGTTTTATTTTTACATTTTTGCTCATTCAACATTTTTGCTAGCTCCAGGAAATGTTTTGCAGGTAAAAAAGGAATATTTTGAAAATTTTGTAATTTTTTTTTAAACACTTGGATTTTTTGCCACATTTTATATTATAGTACAAAGTTCAAGCTCCGGACATCCAATATCCGGAATGATCTAAAATCTGGGCCTCAAAACTGCCAACAACTTTTTTTAATGCTTTACACATAGGCATTTGATTTTTTTCCACCATAAATAAAATGTGGAGAGTCCTAATTCTTAATTTCCCTTTGGCACTAAATAAGTACCTCGTTAGAATAGAATACCTCATTATTCCTCGTTATTGAAGAAATACCTCATTATTGAAGAAAAAAATAATTTAGCATTAATTTGTGTGATAATTATTTGGCTCCATAGCTGTGTATCGTCTTGTCATACATCTCAAACCGAAGCATTCGTTGTTGATTTTACACATACTAATATCCCTGAAGTCAAACTGCCAAATCATTATTTATTATATTTTGATTTCATCACCGCATGTTTATCAACACACGACAACTTGAGTAATGACTCATGCAGCGATGCTCAAACATTTTTTTAATATTAGTAATTGAATAACAAAGAATATGGTAACCTTTAATGCTGACATTACTCTTGGAAATGATTACAGATTTAATTTAAATGCCCTAAAAAATACTGACAAGGGAGAATTTAACAAAAATCTCTTCCATATGCTAAAAATAGATTTTTGTTAATGTTACTTATAGATTACATATAGTGTTCTTTGAATTATGAATAGCTAATTTGTTTTTCACATAAACCCAGAACTGGTGCCAGAGCTCGTATGGCCACACCGGGCAGCAGAATTTAGGGAAGACAAGATTTTTGGAATTTAAAGAAGCACCAAGCAACAGAATTAAGGGCTGAAAATATTTTTAGTATATAGGGAAAGCACAGGGATTCAGAATTAAGAGGCAACAAAAATTTAGAACTTAGAGAGGCGCTTGGCAACAGAATTCAGCACCAGTAACGATTGCATCAGGCAGTAAGATATCTAGCACCACCCCTCAATGAGCCTTAAATATATATGGTGTAACAGCTTTAATATCGTTATTAATCTCTCGTGCATTTGAAATAGATGAATAATAAATAATGTACAGATTACTGGCAATATTGAAATGCAGGCTCGAGAGCTGCATGCATTTTCTCGCACGAAGCATGTAATTATTTTTTTTTTTAAATAAGTTTATAGAACATGTTTTATCTTCTTGTTTGTATGTCGCCATTTTTTTTTTAGTGTTAAATAAAAGTTATTGCTGCTATATGCAATGTAATGCAATGAATCCTTCTCCTTGACCTCTCATGGAATGTGCACACACTGACTAAATTACTGACATTAAATTATAATCAATGGTGTGTTTCTCTGAAGTTTTCAAAAACGTGAACTCTGTTCTTCAACTTAGTTCCAGTTCTTCCAGTTAGTGTACTCAGTGCAAGAAGTTTTTCGTAACACTGAAAAATCTTTAGCTACAGCATGAATAAAATATTAAACTTGTGCCGAGTCCTTTTATCAATGCCTTCAGCTAAAGCAATTGAAAAATAAACATCTTCATTTTGTACAATTGTTCGAAGTTGTTCTGTTACATTTTCAGCTAATTCATGCTGTCTATCTGTTATAATTCATCTTGAATGAGGTGCCCACCAGCGGCCGAGCGGTAAAGTCGCTGAACACTGGTAGTTCGGTCCGAGGGTTCGAATCCCGCGAACGGGGCTGGCTGCATGGGCGTTTTCATGGTTTTCCCCATGTGTAACGTGTATACGAGCCAGTTTCCCTTAGAAAGTCCTCCACGAAGGCATCCCTCCCCTTAGGCAGATAGCTCTCGTGTGCTTTGCCGTAATTAAATACACCAACACCATCTTGAATGAGGCAGTTGTTTGTATTTATAAACTTTTTCTGGATCTAACATACCTACTTCTTCAACAATGCATTCTTTAATTATTTCTACGTCATTAAATAGGCTGCCTCTTTTTTCCAAGTATATGTGCTATTTTGTAAGTAACAGCAACTGTAATGGTATTTTTCTGTATAAAAGCATTCTTTTAAAAGACTTCTATTGATGATGCTTTTAATTTTTCAATTTTTGAACTGCAGTTTGTTGCAATTCGTCTTCTAAGTTGAAATATTTATGTTTTTTTCAGTCAAATAGTGTTCATTTGCATTTGCTTTTTTCAAAGTAGTATAAACTGTGTTTATTTGCATTTGCTTTCTATGAGTCAAATAGTGTTTATTTGCATTAGCTTTTTTCAAAGTAGTCAAAATTATATTGCAAATAAACATGCCATTTTATCTTTCACAGAAGTAAAAAAATAGTCTAATTCCCATTCTAGATTAAATGTTCTGTTTTTTTCATTTAGTTTTCTTGTCTTACAGTTTGGCATGATGGAGGAAAATGAATATCAAATAGTATCTTAAGAATTATAGTGTTCTTTGAATTATGAATAGCTAATTTGTTTTTCACATAAACCCAGAACTGGTGCCAGAGCTTAAGAAAGTGTATACTTATTAAAAATACAATAAAACTGTGTATTAGTAAAACCTCAGAATAAGTAAAACAATAACTAGATTTTTCACAGCGACCAATAGCAATATGAAACGAGACTGTTGCAAGCAAGCAGATAACTACAAATCACCCACTCTGTAACATGCAGGGGAATGCTGAGGGGTGCGGGGCAGAAGGAGGTACTGTCTGTCTCTCAGAACCGCGACTGTCACAATCCCTAATGGGTGGTGGTTGCTATAGCAACAGGGTTAATGTAGTTCTAGTAAGGTTGAGCCATGGCCAAAAATAAGAGCAAAACAAAAGCATTTCTATTATTGGACATTGGCAAACTGAAAATTGCTCCAGAATGGCAATAATGTCAGACTTTGAAAGACTGCTACAATTGCAACACTACAGCATTCTTATTCATTTTATACTCAGTAGATGACAGCATGTTATTTAATTTTATTAATTGTCAAATTGTCATAATCTATATAATTAAACATTAATTAATACAAGAGGTAGAGGCTGCATGTTCTCCACTTCTGATTTATATACTGTTACAAGCTAATAAATAAATATCTCAGCTTCCTTTGATAAATGTTGAATTATGAAATAATCTACCCTCAATCTCCAGAACATTTGGCATTTCTTGACATGAGGCTTTTTCTTATCTTTAATTAAGTGGGCAGTACATTATTTTTCTTTAACACTCTTTATTCTTAAAAATGTAATATTGTGAATAGCTAGGATAATTTTAATTTGTAGTCATCTATAAGCATGATATAAAATAAGAAAATATTACTAAAAATTACAGAAATTTTATTAATTATATATTAGGATGTATGCAGTTTTATTTTATATGGGAAAGGTTCTAAAATCTTTGCAGAATTTCAGTGTAATAATCAGTATAGTGTTTTAATAGCTAGTCATAATGTGCATAACCCTCTGCAAATAAGAAATAAAACAGTTAAAATAAAACAATTAAATATAGAATTTTCAATTTTATGTTAAAATTTTACTAAATTTATATCATGGAATTTTATTTCAAATACTAAATGTTACATAAAATTTTTGGTACTTGTCTTCTGTATCTGCAATTTGGACTTTAAAAGTGTGATTTATTGCTTGTATTAAAAAAAATTGACTATGGTAAACAATAATTCTTTCAGTATCTACAGAACATAAATTATTTAATATACATATGGAGCAGATTTAATATAAATTTGTTTTTATTTTAGTAGTTAATTTATATAGCATTTAATTAAATAAATTGTAAAATTCTATTGATTTGATTTCTTAAAATTTTGTTAATACTGTAAAAAGTAATTTACATAAATGTAACAAAAAATCATTTTAAAAAAACTCTTTCTGGTGGCCATAGTTCAGTTACTGTTAACAATGCCTCAAACAACATTATTACAACTGACTTGGTGCCTGCACATTGCATTACCAGATGGTTTCTTTTCAAACATATGATTGCATATTATGCTTATTTTTATGAATTCTTTGGCTTAGCAAACTAACTTTTCTTGAGGAAAAAACTATAGCATATATTTTAGTTGATGGTAGATAAAAACAGTAAGTATAATTAAATATTTGCAATGAAAAAAAACCGCTATATTTTTTAAAGCAAACATTTTCATTAGTCAAAGGAACATGACTTATGAACACACAGGGAAAATCCTTACATTTTAAAAGTGACAGCAGAAGAAACACACCTGCACATGTCTTTAACAGTAAACGATTGTTTCTCTTATATGCACAAATTGATAACCATTTGTTTCTTACCAGTGCTGAAGCATGCCAAATCATCATTCTCACTAAGTCAGCCATTGAAGACAAGTACCAAATTTTTAGCCATATAGTTTGATTTTTAACAAAAATTCAAGTTGACTTTGTTTTAAGAAGATTTTAGAATTAGCTTTATAAAAATGTCATGAACATACCAAAAAATCTCTTCAGCAAAATACAAAAAAAAAAAAAAAAAAAAAAAAAAATTAACTCTATTGCAGATGTTAATATTTTGCTAATGTTTACAAAATTTAAGTATTTGCAGTGTGGTATATTTACATAATTCTTCTGAAGTTGATCCTTCTTTCTGTATGAAAGCATTCTTTTTTAAGAACATACAGTTCTGTTAATTGAACTTTCTGTAATAGCAAATGCACTGCTGGCCATTAAAATTGCAACACCATAAAGGAAAGCAAATAAAAAAATTATATTTATTGCATGTAAACAGTATGGCATGCCGACAAAATGATTAAATTTGCAAGCAATTTGGGAGTTTATAATAGTGCAAAATTAATAGAAACAGCTGCCACACGTGGCAGCTAAAACTCCTTTACCCAGTTAGGCATGGAGTTGAACTGGTCTTGGATGACAGAAACGGGCAACTTATTCCATGCTGCATCAAGTTTATGTCTTACTTCATCAACCGTATTAGCTGGAGAGGAGTGGCGGGCTAGTCTCTCAGCAACCCGTAACCGGATGTTTTCATTGGGTGACATATCTGGAGACTGTGCAGGCCAGAGCAGCAACCGGTGGTGCTTGCTAGATGTTCAAACTGACCCTGTGTATCAAGGAAGGTCAGAACACGGAGTGCAACATGTCTTGCATTATCTTGTTCTGAGATGGCGTTTGGCAGGCCTCAAAATTAGAGTACAACCCTTGGATGTAAGATGTTAGAAATGTACTCAAAAATGCATTCAAATTACGATCAGTTCGAACTAGAGATGTGCATGTTGTGTACGTAATGTCTGTCCAAACCAACACACCAGGTGCAAGGCCCGTATGCTGATATTGATTGCAAACAGGTGACGTGCGGTCTTCTCGAAGCCTCCAGACACATATATGGTCATCAAAATACTGCATGCAGAACTGGGATTTGTCTAAAATGATGACTTTCTGCCACTCCTGTATCTAGCTTTGTCATTCAGCACACCAGAGTTGCTGTCTCTCTCTATGCTACGTTGTCAGAGAAAGCCAAAGGAATGGTCGGTGTGCTGATTGTCCACTTTGCTACAAATGTCAACACACTGTATGAGTGGATACTGGCTGTGCTGCAAACTTGCCCATTTCCTGACTGGTTTGTGATGTGGTTATATGGTTTTCCAGGGCTGACCTCACAATATGTCTGCCTCTCAGGTGATAGTCATGGTAGGGCATTGAGACCCTGCATGCTGTTCAGTATGATCTTCAGCAACCCATTGATTTTATATTCGCAAGACAGTGGTTTGAAATTGACCAGTGTAACAGGCACTGATTATCACGGAATAATAATCCTTACTTTCAATAAACAACGATCTTGCCTCTATCGAATTCTGACACTTGCTGATAAGCATTTCTTTTTATTCGAGGCATGATACGATATTCTGAGCAAATTCTGACCTTATAAAGTGTTTTTCGAATGTGAAATCCACTCTACAACTTTTCTTTTATGCAGTGCTTCAGATGTCATTTCTCCCTCCTGTGTTGTCTAAATACGCTGAAATATTAATCATTTGCTTATCTCAACCTGTTCTTCCTTTCATGTGATTTTTGACATTCATCAGATCATTCCTTCCTGGTGTTGCAGTTTTAATGGCCAGTGTAATTAATATTGCTTCTGCACTTGTCAAATAGTACGTCACCTCTTCCCTCCCTAGAAAATAAAAGTAATGAAAAAGAGAATATATTTAATTATTATCTTTTAATACTTGTATAATTATATAGCAGTATTTTATTCCAAAATTTCTTTGCTATTGTGAATGACTATGTATAATTTCTTTTACAAAACATAGTTAAAATACATTTCAGCTTAAACCTGAAGTTTGGAAAACAGCTGTTGGCATGATATATTTCTTCACTGTAACTTGGATCACTGCTATTGTGATGGTCATTGTACATGATCGTGTGCCTGATATGCAGACTTACCCTCCTCTCCCAGATATATTCTTAGACAACATTCCATATATGCCTTGGGCTTTTAGCATGTGTGAACTTACAGGAATTATTCTTTTCCTAATATGGATGGCTATTTTATTTTTTCATAAGCACAGGTATAATAAATTATTTCTAATTTAATTTGAAAATAATTTGTTTAAAAAACTGTATACTGTATTAATTTAAGTAAGTGTACTATTTTTGAATTTATTAGTCTCAGTGTAGCTTTAGTACCATAGACTCTATAGCTTTTAATTTACTTGAAGTACATATTTGACAATTTTGTAAATGTATTAATTTTTTTCTGAAAGTACTCAAAACATGCCTTAATTAAACTCCTGTTCATGCCTTAATGATAAATTTACAAATAATTTTTTGCTGATTAATTTTAAAATTTCATCAAATTAAAATGCAGAAATTGTACATAATACAATGCATGTTGTTAGCAGTAATAATACAGTTAATTTAAATAAATAATTATTTATTTCAATTAAAATGTAACTTTATTGCTTACTTAACTATGCAGTCTAGCCATCAAAGTGTAAAGACTTTCATGGGGGAGGGGAAATTAAAATTAAAATTAAAATTAATTGTTATTTGCATGCATTTTGTTATTTTCTTTATTTTGTTGTTGAAAATAGGTTTACAATTTTTCCTTGTACTTTAAGAAAACATGTTAAGCTAGGTAAAATATTTTACTTTTTATATCCGTGCTGAACACTTTGCTACACAAAATTAAGTATTGTATTTTATGGATATTGTTTCTATGAAATTTTAAATGTAAATGTAATTTAATATATATGTAATATATTCAAATTCAGAAGCAATGACCAAGAGCAGGAATTTGGATGGCGTAGAAGTGTTGATCCATAATGACTAGGAAATTGGAGGCGAAGGCAGATTAAATCTTCAGTTTTATTTTCAGCCATGTTGGGGCTACATGCAAGTTGGCACATTAAATGTGCCTGTTCCAAAAGACTTACATTTTTGATAACTTTGTAGCAAGAATGCAGCAGCAGACAGACAGCAACCTAGCTAGGCCAAAGCGTTGAAAGCAAGTGCGTAATGTTCAGGATGAAATCTTAAGTTAAACTGAGTTTTGGTCCTGAAAGCATTTTGATTGGATAGTTAATATTGCCGTAAAATTATTATTGGCTGCTTGAGTTTTAGTTCAATTTATATCACCAGAATTATGTAAGAGTCATATGACATAGATTTTTTTTCAAAATGACACAGTGCAAATAGATGTTGCTATTTTTAGAATAAAGGAAGGGAAATTTATTTACACTGCTAATTTAATCTTTTGCATATTCTTTATTTTTCTGACATGTATGAGCTGCTGTATTTGCTTCAGTGCAATAATATCAAAAATTGTAAGTGTTCTTTAATAGGCACGAGTAGAGTGCCAAGTGAATTGTGGCCACAAATGAGAATTTAAATAAAAAAGGAATTTAATCCGGCTCAACTGCTTATTCTTCAAAATGTATGGACGCTCTAAGCATCAAGTATCTACGCAATCAGTATTTTTGCACATTTACATCTCAGTGTTCTTATTTCAGTGCTTCCAAAATTGTTCTGTCATTACATTCTTCGGCAAGTTCTAGTAATGAAGAAATCTACATGGGTTTGTTAAGCTATATTCACAGTGAATCATGGAAAAAGTCCTGTCTTACCAAAGATTTTAATGCAAGTTTGTGCCACATTCTCAATCAAATCATTCATGTCATGTCATCGAACCACAATTTCATTACATACATGATTACAATACAGCATCTGGCGAAGAGGAAAGCACAAGCAAAAGTGATGCATCAGTTCATAGAAAGAAGGGAGGGAGTCAAAAGTTTCAGTTTTAAGTTTTGGTGTACAATTCGGTGATTGGTCAAGAGGCATCTGCATTAAGGGTTACGTAGGATCGCATGATTAATTTTAATGATGCAGTTTAGACTTACAGCACTGTTTTTAGGACAGATAGATGAAGTTCCCAAATGAAATAAAAAAATAAAAGATGTTATAGTGAATTAAATTTAGAAGTTTGCTTTCATATGTTTTATATTACATATTTAGAGAAGGGAAATTAATTTATGCTGCTAATTTAATCCTTTGCATATTCTTTATTTTTCTTACATATTATATGTATATATTTTCCCTTACACCTACAAAAATTTTAAACCAATCCCCATTGAAGCTGCCAGAGGGAAGTAATGATTAAATATAATTAAATTTCTATTGCTAGATTAAATATTGTTATGAATTTTGTACATAGCTGATTTTAGTGCAATTATATGTGTGAAATTGTTGTATTTGTCTCTGTGTAATGTATCATGAAAATTAAGAGAGATGAGCTGTGCTAGAAAGGTAAAAATACAGGGGAAAGTCTGAGTATCCCCATAATTTCATGAAAAACTCCATTAAACTATATGATAAATTATTTTTTGTAATGTTCTGTTCTCAGGACCAGTTTCAGAAATGTATGTATGCATGCATGTATGTGTTCATGTATGCATGTATGTATGTAAGTATAAGTGTATGTGTATGTATAAATATATACATATATGAGCATGACATACAACCACACATTCATACATTTCTGAATCTGGTCCCGATAACAGAACAGTACCTTATTTTTCTTCTTTTAGTTCAATGTTTATTTTACAAGTTTTAAATAAAAGCTTATTTTATAAAAACTAAAAAAATAAATAAATAAATAAATAAATTCCATCTGTTTAGTCTCAGTGATGTATTATCAGTCAAATTACTGATTTGAAAAGTAATTTTTCAACAGTGAATAATCACTATTTTACTTCAGTCATTCTGTTACAACAAATGATTGAAAAAATCCAGCAATTTTGCTAAAGAATCGCAAACTGTGCTAAAAATCTCACAGAGATTTTATTTAAAGATTTCCCCCCCATGCTGTATCCAGTGGTGCAAACAGTAAAATTGCTAGAGTCTTAGTTTATTCTTTGAACTAAAGTATGATCAAAATATCATTTCAGCATTAAATTAAAAAAATTATAAATAAAATTTTTAAAAAATCACTTCATCATTTTGTGCCATCATTAACAATGTACGCAAAATTTAAGCTCCACAGCTTATTAGATAAAGGTTTAATGACAAACTGTTTACCATAGTGAAAAATACCACACGCAAGTTAAAGAAAAGCTTATAAAAAGATGGCTAGTTTTAAAATAAATTCTAGAAGAAAGTCAGCTAACTGATACTCTTTTTAATCATTGTTCTTTTTAAAAGAAAGTGAAGGGTTTGTTTTTTAACCTCTGAAAATTTCAAATCTTTATAACAAATACTTTTTTGGATGTTAGAATTTTAAAGCTTTTTAATGAATAGATTAAAGGCCACAGTAAAATTAAGAAAAATCAACATTTAAAATAAGAAAAACATATTTAAATATGTGAAATCAAAAAACAAATTATGCAGCAGACTTCACTGCAAAATATTTGAAATGTTTGTTTTGAGCTTTATAAAATGAAATGATTTATAAAAGCAAATCTACAGATGAAAAAGTGGGGGGAGGAGGGGAAGAGAACTGTTGTAAAATGGCAGAAGACTTCTAAAAAGTTTAATTTCTTTGCAAGTAATTCTTTTCCACGAGAAGAATGATATTAATGAATAAGTAAATAAAATAAATTTAAGAAAAATCTATATAGAAGCAAGTAAAATAATGCGACATAATGACATGATAATCTTGAAACTATATTTCCAAGTGATCCCAAGAATAAACAATACTTCCTCTTTTGCTTCATGACGTATAGTATATATATATATATATTTGATGTTGAAAATTGCCCAATAAATATTTTTTTAACATTCTTGTTTTTTTTTTTTTTTTTTTTTTTTTTAAAGAGTGAAGAGTTGTTTTTCTGAAATCTGTGAAAATTTCAAAACTTACATGAAACCAGTACATTTTTAGATAATGCATGTTGTAAATTTAAACAATTTTCATAAATTAAAATTGTTAAAAATTTCATATAGATTTTAAAAGATTTTGTTTCCACTCTGTCGGATGGTGCTAACAATAAAATTCTACAAATTTTAGTTTGTTCATTAAATAAAGACGACAAAAATTGCTTCAACATTAAATTTTAAATTTTATAAACTAAATTTTGAAAAACTTGCTTCACCATACTATGTTGTCATCTATACAATTGTGTATACAAAATTTGAGCTGAATTTATTGGGAAATAGTTTAAAAATTTATGACAAGCATTTGACTGGTGACAAACACCCTGAGTGAGCTAAATAAAAGCTTGCAAAAATTTATTATTGTTCTGAATAAGTCCCCTACTTTTCAGATCTCACACCTGCATATTTCTTTATTTAATGGAGGAAACTTCTTCTTAAAGGCCGTGAATTTAGAAGCATTTTCAGGAAGCCTGTATGAGAGAATTAAAGAAAATGGCAAACATGACTTCACTGAGGGCCATCAGAAGCTGTATAAATATACTATTAGATATAATATATTATTAAATGTATAGTGAGGGAAGTAATATATAAGGTAAACAGTAATAATCAAATCTTGATTTTCTTTATGAATTCAGTAATAAAAATTCAAAGACTGTGTATTAATGTAAATCATGTATTCTTTCTTCTCCATTTTGTACATGACATGATGTATCAAATGCTGTTGTGTTGTATTTATAAATTCAGTCCTTTTTTAAACCAAAATCGATGCATTCATTCTTCAGAAGTGTATATCCACACACAATGTTTTTCCTATATATATTTAGTTAAAACTTACAATCTTATATGTAAGAGAATAATATTTGGCCAAAATAGTTACATGCATGGCAAATGTGCCATGATTTGTTGTACATTACTTGTACTTGAAATATAACTTGAATTGCATATCAAGCAACAGAAAGTGGAAGTTATATACCTCATTAATTAGGCATTCTAGTGTTGATATCATGGAAGTCCATAATTTTAAGTTCTTATTATACTGCATTTCATTTATAAAAATTAATATTTTGAAATTGTATGATTACCCATAATATTTTATGAAAAAAAGTGTTCATTCCTTCCTGCACATATTACACTATCAAATATAATGAGCACCAGAATAATAATCTTTATCATTCAGAACAACTGCAAGTGAACACATACAGAGCACAACAGAAATGTAATCCATCTTTTCTTTTCAGGTTCATTCTCCTTCGAAGGATGTTTTCACTTTTTGGATCAGTCTTCCTACTTCGTTGCATTACAATGATAATTACATCATTGTCTGTTCCAGGAAAGCATTTAGAATGTAAAGCTAGGGTAAGTTGATATACTTTAAATAAATTGTATTGCTGTATTTGTAATGTGTAAGAAAATGCATTTTCAGGAACATTAGTTAACACTTTACCGACTGGTAGCAGTTCGAACGTACTATGCCTTTTCACCGCTCCGCTCAGCCGCAGATCGTCCGAGACACCGGCTCGGTTTCGGCCTAGACTGACGCGCAGGAATATATGCACTTTTCTTAAACGCTGGTAAAATTGTATGCTTCATGTTATTGTAGGGTAACAAAATTTAATAAAATCTTTTACTTTAATCATATTTATTTTAACTATTAAACAATATTTATTTTATGTATTACAATCGTTTTCAGTTTATTATTTACATAAAATATACCATAATCCATATAACAATATTTGTTGAAAAAAGAAGTTGTTTAATATTTTTTTAAACTATGATAGTGCTCGAAACAGCCACCTTTGTGTAGTGGGATATTGCAGTATTTACAAGCAAAACCTGTTCTGCTTAGTTTTTTTTTTTTTTTTTTTACTTGCACAAACTCTGCATTTTCGTAGAGGTTTTTTACATTGACCGCTGGTCACTATATTTACTAGTTTATGCTTTCCAAAGTTTTCCAGTCTTCCGGGATGATCAAATCGGGATGTGGTTCTTGTGGGTTCGGAATTAGGTAGATCCTTACCTTGTTCTTCAGTTTCGCAGTCTTCTATCAATGAAAGTGCCGCTTTGTGCAGAAAATTTTTATATGTAATCTTCAGTCCGTTCAGAGTTGTATATACTTTAAAGGAGTTAAAAAGTGTACAATTGATGAAGAATATTACAACACGTTTCGTCTGGTCGTTTACGGCTAGTCGTTCGTCTGGTCGTTTACGTCAACACGTTTACGGCTGGTCGGTATGCGCTGAGAACAAAACGTCGATTAATCGACGGCCGGTCGGTAAAGTGTTAACATTTCTATACACTTGCAAGTGTAAATGTTAGGGTAAATACTTATAAACATAAGCTGGCATTTGTGCTGAATATTATCAGTAGAGTAGTGAGACGACGTTTCCTAAAACTTTCAAAAATTATGTAATATATTTATGGTTTGTTCAATTTTTAAAAGAACTGGCAGTTTTAGAATTGAAGAAAATAATTAAAGCTGATATTAAAAAAATTTCTTAGTTCCTGTGAACTTTGATTATTCAGTATATGTTGCAGAATGAATTATATTGCAATAAACAAACATTGAATCATATAATGTAGAACATTCTGTGATGTTTTATCTTCATGGATTAAAACTTTTGCAAATTCTAATTGAGTAATGAAATATTATTCATTTAATACCCATCAGCAAATTGCAGCAGCAAACAGCAGAAAGTGTTTTAAATTATTCAATAAAGTGAATGCTCTCAAATCCCACTAGAACCTAGGTTATAATGAACCCCCAAATATAAAAAATAAACCATTAGGTCTACCAGAAAATTCTGTCCATTTGGGAAGTGAATGAAAATAATACATTTTTCATACATTAAATGTCATTTAATATATGAAATGATATTTATTTATAATATAGTTTCTGTTGTTATGTATAACCTCTTGCCAGCATTATGAAAACTTTTTGATACCATCACTGAAAATTGTCTTGTTCTTAGAGGCAAAGGACTCAAACAGTGCTTGGCTGACATCTGCTTCAGTTTTGAATTTTTTCCCATTAAAATTTTTGTAAGGAGAGGAACAAGACATAATCAGAGGGTGCTGGGTCTGGGGCGTATGGTGAAAGTAGCTCTGCAATTTTCTGATGAGTTACCGAAACAGCATGTGCTTTGACATTGTCATGATGCAGTAAGATGTGCTGCCTACTGAACATTGGGGGTATCTTTTCTTATTCAGCTTTGTTTCAGTGGTTCATTTGCTGATAGTATCTCTCTGAAGAATTTAGTTTTTTTTTTTTTTTTTTTTTTTTTTCATACAGACACCATTCTCTTATTCAAGTTAAGACTCAGTTTAGAAGTTGAAAGGGCCGGTTGTTCGGCTCACAGCATACTCTTTTCCTTTAAAGCACTTTATGTATAATTCTGTGCCAAAAATTAATTTGTTGAAAGAACGATAAATGTAAAGTGTTCTGCATTGAAAATTGTAGCAAACCAAACTTTCAATTCCTTCTAGTGCATTGTGGCAGTATTCAAATTTATATGTGAAGCATAGTGACATCAGTTAATATTTTGAAAATACTGAAATTTTACTTCACATTTTGTGTGACAACTTACTTCATTATCATGTGTGTTCTAGATGGCTTTCTTATTTGGTGTGAGAAAATTTGTTAGCCAGAATTTACCAGTATCATGCTTGGATAAATGGGTGACTTTTCGGTTTTCTTGAAGATAATAATAATTGCTAATAAAACATTTGAATCGATCCCCGTGTAAAGTTTTGAAAATGCACTGGCTTTCCTCCTTTAAAAAAAAAAATAAATAAAAAATAAAAAAAAAAAATAAAAATAAACAATACTTTATATGTGAAATATTTCAGAATTTGTGGATAAAAAGTCAAGATAAAAGTCATTAAATTTAAACTGGACTAGGAAAAGTAGAATAGATAAAGGTGAATTCAAAAAAGCACATAAAAGTAATTAATTTGTTTTTGAATTTTTACCAAGAAATATATATCAAATATTTTTTTATCTTATATGAAAGTAAATAAAGATAAAAAAACATACATTTTTTTTCAGACATCCTTTTTACAATAATTTGTTTTAAAATTTTAGTTTGAGTTTCACTCAAATTAATAAAGCCATCTTGATTAGTCATCATTTGTGTACTTTTTTTTTTTTTTTTTTTTGTTAATACTCCCAGCAAATATCATGAATTTATTTTCCATCCTGATATAATAAAAAAGTTATATTTTTACTTTTAGTCATAATAAATATCAGAAATTCTGGTATTTATTATGACTAGAATTTTTTTGATAATCAGAGAACAGTTGTTTCTAAATGTAAATGCTGACAAGAAATGCAGCTTGAAATAACAATGACAGCTCTAACAATGCAAGAAAGACCCAAAACTACTGGAAAGTTTAATAACGGTTGGTTGAACATAGTCTTTGACTGTAGATAGTTGAATTTCTTAAAAGAATTCGATAGTAGACTTAACCATTCAGTATCTGCCATATTGCAAAATCATTTTGTTTGTTAATAGTGCTAAACCTCTTTCTCTGCAAAATTCACCTGAAGCAGCTTCCATAAAATGCTTCCTCTGCATGTTTTAAAAAGTAGACTGAATTGTGAGAGATGTTTAGAAGAAGAATAGTGTATATATATATTTTTTTGTTATTATTAATTATTACTTTTATTCTGAGTTTTATGTCACTTTGTATTCTCACTTAGAATATTCAAATCTGAAGGTGTGTTACTAATATGAGCATACTAGTGTCTCTGATTAGGTTTTTAGATTACTTTTAATATTTGAAAATTACTCTTTTAATTTGAAATGTATTATTTAAATTCTAAATCAAATCTTAAATGATCTAGTGATAGTATCTGTAATGTAGAAATAGCAATACGCTATAGTTGCTGAATTTGCATCATATTGTACATATTGTTTGGATGTGTAGAAATCAGTTTAGAAAATTAAATTAATTAATATCATATCAGAAATATTAAATGCATGATAATATATAAAATTTATACAATTTTACTTTTCTAGTCATATGGTGAATGGCGAGATAAAATTCGTACAGCTTTTTTGATTTGGCTTGGAGGTGGAATGTCAATTCAAGGTGTTAGAACATGTGGAGATTATATGTTTAGTGGCCATACGGTTGCTCTCACATTACTTAACTTTTTCATTACAGAATGTAAGTTCTCATTAGAATTCCCCCCCTGTGTATTAATTATGAATTAGGAATGAAAATAATGTAGTTCTACATCATTATGAGTTTTATGAGTAAAATAATTTTGTAGTGGTTTTAAGACTATAAAAGCATTAAATATCTAATTTTGTGTAAATTAAAGAAAGATATTTATCAATTAAAAATAAATATGCTCAGTGTGTTTTATACTTTTATAAACTAAAATGTGCAGTACTGTACGGCTGATTACATTTTGATGAGAATAACATTTATTAATAACAAATTCAGGTCTAAGCAGAATTATTGAAGATGGAAAACATATATTTCTTTTGAAATTCATATGTCTTTTATATTTTTAAATTAAAGTAATATATTATTTACTGCTTGTTTAAAAAAAACTGGTGCTTAAACTATAAAAAAATCAGCCTATTAAGATGGTATATTTAAAATAAGCTGCTAAATCTAATCTTGAATTTTGTCTTTATTCTGTATTAGTAATTTAGTAATACAGTACAAAGTCTGAGATCCAGATGTCTAATATTCAGACCTCAAAATCACCAACAACCCTTTTTTTTTTTTTTTTTTTTGTATGCTTTACTTATGTGCATTTGATTCCTGCTCCCCATGTTTTATTAACATGTGTAGAGTCCCAATTCTTAATTTCACTTCAGCACTAAATAAAATACCTCATTACTGAAGAAACAATAAATTTTGGCATAAATTTTTGTGATCAATAATTTGGCTCTGTAGCTGTGTATCTGCTTGGCATACATCTGAAACCAAAGCATTCTATATAGAGACATCATTGATTTTACACATACTAATATTTTATATCCCTGATGCTAACCTGGCAAATCATTATTTATTATATTTTGCTTTCATCACTGCATGCTTATCAACACATGGCAACTTGAGTAGTGACTCATGCAGCAATGCCTAAACAATTTTTTATATTAGTAATTGAATGACAAAGAGTATGGTAACCTTTTATGTTGACATTACACTTGGCAATGTTTACAGATTTAAGTTAAATGCACTAAGAAATGTTGGCGAAGAAAAATTTAACAAAAGTTCTTTCCAATAATAATTTCAAAATAGATTTTGTTGATGATATTCATAGGCCAAAAGATTTCGTTTAGTGCTATTTGAATTAAAAATAACTGATTTGCTATTCACATGAACCCAGTACCAGCATCAGAGCTTGTATAGCTGCATCGGGCGGCAGAATTTAGGGAAGACAAAAAATTTTGTAATTTAGAGAAGCACCAAGCAACAAAATTAAGGAATGACAAAATTTTTAGAATTTAGGGAAAGCACTGGGACCCAAAATTTAGGAGCAGGAAGAATTTAGAACTTAGGGAGGCGCTTGGTAGCAAAATTTAGTAATTGGTCTTTTCTGGCAATATGAACTGTGAAATACTTTTGCAACCTCTACAGAAAAGGCTCCAAGTGTCAAAGATTCCAAAGCGAGACTAACAATTTCATCATATGAAATTGTTTCAGGAATGCATTAGTGTAAACTTTTCATGATGGGAAAAAATACACAACCTTGAGTATTTAAAAGAGTAAAGATTTTCCCTGTTATACACTGACTACCAATAAGTATTTGGACACCTGTGATAGAAAAGAAAAACTAACTTTATTCAAAATCAATAGTTGGTAGAGCCTCCATGAGAGGTAATTACAGTGTGGAACCTCCGGAGCATACTTTCCACAAGTCTTTGTATGACAGCTAGGGGTATTTTCTTCCACTCGGCTTGGAAAAGACATAGAAGTTTCTTCACCGATTTTGCACGGGTAGTGCACCCCTGAATTCGGAAATGCAATTCGTCCCAGAGGTTTTCTCGATAGGGTTCAGGTCTGGACTCTGGGCAGGCCAGTTCATTCGATGAACTCCATTGGCACCATACCAAGCCTTGGTTAATGTCGAAACATGACAACTGGCATTGTCGTCCTGAAAGTAACAAGGGTCCAACCCGTAAAACTGCCACAATGTAGGAAGCACATTGTCATCCAAAATAGTGCAGTAGGCATCGAAGTTGAACTTACCATGAAGGGAGACCAAGGGTCCCAGCCCACACCAGGAGAAACACCCCCAGACTATAATTCCACCTCCACCAAACTTGACTGTTGGCACAATGCATTCTGACAGGAGACGTTCTCCGGGTAAACGCCAGACTCAGACCCTGCCATCCGAACGGTAAAGGGTGAACCTTTATTCGTCACTCCAAAGAACCTGTTTCCATATATCTACGGTCCAATTTCGATGTGCTTTGCATCACATTAATGGAGCAGCGCGGTTGGACTTTGTGATCAAAGGCTTATAGGCAGCAGCATGACCATGAAAACCAAGCAGATGTGCTTCCTTACGGATGGTATTCATTGAAATAATACTCCCGGATGCCTGTTGAAACTTCTCGCGGATGAGGGTCATCGGTTGGGTGCGGTTCTTCCAAATTTCTCTGGACAGCACTCGTCGGTCTCTATCTCCCAGTTTCGTTGGTCTGCTGACTCGGGGCACATTCCGACAATCACTACTCACCTTCCACTTCTTAATCACATAGGCCACTGTTGATTTTGGGTACTTCAGATCACTAGATATGTCCCTTAAGGATCGGCCACATTTGTGATACCAGATAATTATACCTTTCTCGAAATCAGAGAGCTCCGAACTGCGAGGCATCTTGCATGCAACTAAAGCCGATGCTGTTTCCTACATGATATATACCGGCGGAGTCCGTGATGTACCTTAGAACTGCAGATTTCATCATTTGCATAGGTGTCCAAATACTTATTGGTAGTCGGTGTATATCATGCAAATAAAAGAGCATGGATAACAAAAGTGTTAATGTGTGATTGGTTTCAAAATCATTTCACACCTGAGGCTCAGCAACATTTGTATTTGGTTGGTTTACCTGATGATGCAAAAATTGTCCTGATTGTAGACAACTGTTCAGCTCATACTTCACTTAAACTTTTAGTGAAAGATAATGTATCCATATTATTCTTTCCTCCAAATTGTACATCCATCATTCAGCCTATAGATATTGGAATAGTGCACGTGCTGAAATGAAAATATGAATTGTTTTTAAAATCCATGTTAAATGTTTTGAATAATGACAAGATTATTCAAGAATTTAAAAAATATTTTAACATAAAATCTGATGTGTGGAGCATCACAAGATCGTGGGAGGATGTGTCTCCAGATACTTTAAAAAAACTTGGCATAATTTATGGCCAACTACCATATTTCATGGTGAGGATAATGTAGATGATAGCCACAGATTTGAAGTTTTTAGATTTTGCAAACCAAAGGTGAAATTCTCCAATTAATGGATTTTGTAAAGAAATGTAGAGAAGCAATAATAAATGAAGATGATATAAAAGAAATTTTTCAATGTGATGACAATGTCCCAATCATGAATTAGTTAATGGATGGTGAAATCTGTAGTATTGTTCTAGATTAAGAAACTGCAGCTACCGATAGTAAAGAAAGTGACTGAGAGGCTATTGGAAAAAAAAAAAAAAAATCGATTGACAAGTTAGTCGAAATTCTCAACACAACAGTTACAGGACTTGAGCAATGGAACTTTGTAACTAAACAAAAAATTATAAAGAGAAAGTATTAGCACAAAAATGAAGTAACTTCAACCAACTTACATTGAAAGAAATGCTTGATAAAGTATATAAATATTAAGCTTTTTTTTTATAACCTTTAAATCACAAATGCTTCATTATTTCATAAATCACAATTTCATATTTTTAATTTTACAATTTCTACATGCCATCTTACTAGATTTAAACTGATGATCTATAATAGCTGAAAAACCCCAAATCCAGAATCGACAAAATCCCGATGAGTCTGGATTTCGGCATTTGTACTGTATATGCTAGTAAAATATCATTATGTAAGGATGTTTACCATTTAGTATACTTCAAAATTCCTCATATGATAGGTTTGCTGCTGTAGTATTAAGCGTCACCTTTCATGAGGTTGAGTAACTACCATTTAATTAAGAAATAGTGTTTGTTTATTTTAAATTGCAGATTAAATAATGAGTAGGTTTTATATAATTCTAAAAATATAAAGAATTTTAGTGTACATAAATTTGTTCGTTATATTTTCAGCTATAAATAATTTTGTTCATCAAATTTTATTTACTAATCATTGGCTAAAAATTAATTCAGTTTTAGCCCTTCATTTGGCCAGCTTATATATAAAGCACCAGCTTATATATGGTGATTCTGATCTCATGGGACGTGCTTTAATTGTTGGTACAGAATATTAAAACAAACATTTTTTGTATATGAAACATATGGACTCAACTGTTGCATTGAGGCACAAACATAAGGAACAAAGCATGAAAGGAAGCATTTTTTTGTTTACTTATAACAGTATTGACAAATGCTTCTTTCTAATAACAATGTTTAGGTAATTGCTTAAAATTACATCCACCAACAGTAATGGGGAGGAGTAGTTGGCTTCCCACCCGTGAGCATTGTGCATCTGCCAGAACATACAATTAGTGTCAATTACCCATAATAAAAGACTGTATGAATACAGACTTGTATCTAATGTGCGGGGCTGCAAATGGTAACAGCAGAGCAGTGCTACAGATGTATTAGAAATTTTTTCCCAATAGACTAATGATGAATTACACAATGTTTCAGTGATTACACTGCTAACTGTGTAAAACTAGTTCCTTCAAGGTTAGCAGGCAAGAACAGGTTGACAGAGAGCTATAAGCATCTGGATGTGGATAAATTCATCTTGAAACCTTGTGGAAGAGAAGTCTGATAAAAATGCAAGATCTATACACATCGCATAAGTGGGTGCATATCCACCATTTGGAAAGTGGTGAGCAAAAAATTTGGACACCCTTTCTATTTTCACATAACTCAGGCTTTAAAACTGAAAAATTATATATATTGAATATTGTAAGCAAACATTAACTTCCTGATTGACCGCTATCTATAATCATTATACCTGTAAGTTTTTTTTTTTT